CGGGACACCTGAGATTTTGAGTGAGATTGAGAGGTTCTATGGGTAGTTGTACACGTCATCGTTGGAGCCACACGCAAGTGTGAGTAACGATCCAAGAGCGAGTCTCATCCGACACTATTCCGAAGATATCCCGGACGTCAGTCTGAGCGAGATTAGATTGGCTCTCCAGCACCTTAAAAACGGTAAGGCCCCAGGCGAGGATGGAATTACAGCGGAGCTTCTGAAAGCGGGTGGAAGACCGGTACTTTAAGTCCTTCAGAAGCTCTTTAATTCCGTCCTCCATGGTGGCATTACACCGGAGGCGTGGAGCAGAAGTGCGGTGGTCTTGTTCTTCAAGAAAGGTGACAACGCCCTCTTGAAGAACTACAGACCGATTTCCCTTCTGAGCCGCGTCTACGTGCTATTTTCGAAAGTCATTACGAATCGTCTCGCGCGCAGACTTGACGACTTCCAGCCTCCCGAACAAGCCGGTTTCCGAAAGGGCTTTGGCGCCATAGACCACATACATACCCTTCGGCAAATTGTACAGAAGTCCGAAGAGTACAATTTGCCACTATGTCTGGCGTATGTGGACTATGAGAAAGCCTTTGATTCCGTCGAAATTTGGGCGGTACTGCAGTCCCTTCAGCGGTGCCAAGTTGACTGTCGGTATATCGAAGTGTTGAAGTGCTTGTACAGTAGGGCTACGATGGCTATCCGAGTACAGAACCAGAGTACGAAACCTATCCAATTGCAGAGAGGTGTAAGACAGGGTGACGTCATATCCCCGAAACTCTTCACCGCTGCATTGGAAGACGTTTACAAGCTTCTGGACTGGAAAGGATACGGTATCAACATCAATGGCGAGTACATCACTTACCTTCGATTTGCCGACGATATAGTCCTTATGGCAGAATCGCTGGAGGACCTAAGCACTATGCTCAATGACCTCAATAGTGTTTCCCAACGGATAGGTCTTAAGATGAACATGGACAAAACTAAGATCATGTTTAATGTCCCTGTCACACCTATGCTGGTAGTTGTTGGGAACACTAAGCTCGAAGTTGTTGACGAGTATGTTTACTTGGGACAAATAGTCCGACTAGGTAAGTCCAACTTCGACCGAGAGGTTAATCGACGGATTCAACTCGGTTGGGCAGCGTTCGGGAAATTACGGCACATCTTCTCGTCAGGTATACCTCAAACCTTGAAAACGAGACTGTACACCCAGTGCGTGTTGCCAGTGATGACTTACGGAACTGAGACGTGGTCCTTCACTGCTGGCCGGATGAGGAAGCTCAAGGTCGCTCAGCGGGCTATGGAGAGGGCTATGCTCGGAGTTTCTCTGCGTGATAAACTTAGGAATGAGGATATCCGCAGTAGAACCAGAGTAACCGACATAGCCCAACGGATTAGTAAGCTGAAGTGGCAATGGGCCGGCCATATAGCTTGAAGAACCGACAACCGATGGGGAAGAAAGGTTCTCGAGTGGCAGCTTCGTACCGGTAGGCGAAGTGTAGGGCGTCCCCCCACAAGATGGAGTGACGACCTGGTAAGACATGCAGGAAGTCGATGGATGCAGGTGGCTCAGGACCGTCTTTGTGGCATTCTTTGGGGGAGGCCTATGTTCAGCAGTGGACTTGTGAAGGCCTGTAATGATGATGATGATGATGACGCCTTGCGGCACTTATAATAGTAATTTATTTTGTATTAAGTATAACAGGTCTATTATTATATATCTATAGGAGGTCTATTGGATCTAATAATGCGGCGTTATTTAGATTTAAGGTAATCATCAAATACTATTGTATTTAATAATTTTTAGATTTAATATAGACTAGATCAATCCTGACATGGCACTCTCTCTTGAAGTTGCATTATGATAAGTTTAGCTATTTTGAAGATTATCCGGGATAGACAATTTAAAAAACAAATAGTAATTTATTCCTTAGTGGCATGCAAATAATATCCTCGGCCTAAGTTAAGTCGTCTAAGTTATTTCGTTATTACAGACAAACACTTCAATTACATCTATATGTAAAAGTTAGCGACCAGCCCTAGCTTCGCCTGAATATAATCTATTAATGTGGTAACATTATCAATTTTTCGTGTTTCCAAAATGGCCTTCAAGGTTTTCTGATGAAAGATAGCCTTGATCACTACTGGCATTGATCTGTATCATTTGTAAAATTTCATAAACATTGATCCAGGCATTCGGAAGATGAATTTGGACAGACAGAAAGACAGACACAAATTTAATATAGAAATATATGTTTAGATTAGTTATAAGTAAGAGTGTGCTCGCCTTAAAGCTTTAGTACTTTAGTAGTGTCCGAGTAGCAGCGGTGTAATAATATTCACTACACCATTACCTTCCGTGGGTGTCGTCAGAGGCGACTGAGGGAGACAAACCAGATGTTGCAGCAGTGTATTCCTTTTAAAAAATAGAAAAAAATAACTGTGAATGCCTACCTGCCAAGCATGGCAACTATGGTAGATGTTTCCTTATGAGGTAGTCAGTGCTAGACGTCTATGTTTAGCAGTGGACTTTGAAAGGATGTGACGAATGAAATCTTGATGATAAAGAAATGTTTTTGACTTGTTTAAGACTTATTCTGAAACCTAGACCAAAGTGAAATTATGTTGTGTACTGTCGTAGTATATTTGTATAAATAATTCTAAGTCAACCCTTTGTTGCGGATGATGCTTTGCACTTTGTTGTACCTTGGAAATGTACTACTAGTAAATTATTAGTAAAAGCTGTAGTAAATTTAACAGTGCAACGTTGTTGTTTGATTTGAATATTACATTTAATAAAGGTAAACGAAGTCGAGCAGTTAATCCTCTCTGCGCCAAAATCTGTTATAATTCAAATATTTTGAAATTGGGAAATATGGTCAAATTTGCGCAATCCAAATATGAACCGAATACTAGTATTTTGAAGTCTCTCAAGCTTATTTAGCTGGTCCTCAGTTATGTCTACATAGCTTGCGTCAGCATAGTCGAGAATCGGAAGGAGAAGAGACTGTGCGAGCATAATTTTTGTAGGAATGGGAAGAAAAGATCGGAGGCGACGCAGTGAACAAAGAGCGACAAAAGTTTTCTTACTTACCTCATTCAGTTGGCGTATCCAATTTAAGGAATTATCAATATAAATACCAAGATTTTTGACATTGTCAAAGTAAGGGATAACAACTCCATCGAATACGATAGGTGGTACAGAGAACCAGTCAATTCTTTTCTTGAGATAAAGCTCTGGCTACCAATAATGATAGCCTGAGACTTTTTAGGATTGACATTTAGGCCATATGATTTACTCCACTCGTGTATAAAATTTAGATCCCTATTTAATGTAGCGATTGCATTCGGCAAATTCTCAAGAGTTGACTGGGTGTAAATCTGGACATCATCCGCATACATGTGGTAGAGAGAAGATATTTTATGAGTGATTGAATTAATGAAAATGGAAAAGAGTAAAGGTGACAACACGCCGCCCTGCGGCACGCCTGCAGTTATATCACACCAAGATGAGTGAGTTTCATCGACACAAATGCACTGCCGATGGCCACAGAGATAACTTTGAAACCAGTCAATTACTGATGGAGATATGTTAAGGGAACATAACAGACTCAACAGTATATCGAAGTCAACAGTATTGAACGCATTACTGAAATCCAGCAAGGTCATGACTGTGAGTTGTTTATTATCCATACCCCACCGTATGTCATCAGTAACTTTGATTAAGGCAGTAGCCGTAAATTCTCAGCAGAATCAACAGGAGGTGGTTGACTTGACGAACTAACAATTTTAAATGGAAGGTAGGATCTTAGATAGATCGCCACGCCCCCACCACCCCTATTAGTGCGATCATTTCTAATTAGATGAAACCCAGGCAAAGAATAAGAAGTGGAAGGCAGACAGGGTTTTAGCCAAGATTCTGAAACTAAAATGGCGTGAATATTTTGGGATACAAATGACGCAAGCATGTCAGGATAATGAGCCGGAATGCTTTGGGCGTTAATATGAATAGCATTAAAGTTATTCACACAGTCTGAGAAAAAAGAATTTAAGGTGATGTTGAGTGAAGGAGAAGTTGTACTATGATAACTATCATCACTAAGTGTCTCATCGTCCGAAGACAACGATAGAAACAAATCACTATCGTTACAAATGTTTGAGGAGGTCATAAATATTAAATTAAAATATAAAATAAATTCTTATATACACTAAAAAAAAAGAAAAAAAATATATATATAAATAAATAAAGATCGAAAGGTACCTATACTATTACAACCACCAGCAGCATGAAAGAGAAAGCATATGACAAAACAACAACTTAAAGAAATAAAACAATCAGTTTAATATAAAAATTACCAAAAACTTGCAGTCTGACGCCAATAAATTGTAAGACATTTTGAAACTGTAAACGTCAGACTAGGCAGTATGGATTAAGATGCCTTTGCCAAAGTAATAAAATAAAAATAAAAAATAAGAAAGAAATCTGACAACAGGTAACAACTGTCACTGTTAGTATAAATAAAGATATTTATACGTAAATATTATTAACAAAAAATATAAAGATTAATTAATCTACCAGTTATGTGAAATAATTAAAATAATTTGAGTAACAATCATCAAACCAGTGGAAATATTATAAAACATTTGTCTTAAAAATGAATGGCAAAGAATTATAATTTAAAACCTGATTACCTAAAAGTTACAAAAAAATATATGAATTGAGCTGCTGGAGTAAATTAGTAAAAACAAAACCATAAGAAAAACATGCCACTACCATCATTTTTTAGCCGTCTTCCTAGCCCTAGCAAATTATGTTACTATAGCTAATTAATCTAACAGAATGAACCTCGTGTAACTGAGTACGTGATATTTTATACATCCGGCACGTGGCTTGAATTGCTGCGCCTGCATTCCTGTCGGTTTACATAGCAACTGTTCTAGGTGCATAGTCAGCGATCGTCATATCATAGGTGTATGTAACTCCTCCACCCTCAGAACGGCAACTATTTGAGTATGTTCAGGGAAAATGTTGCCGGAATTTCGGGGTTTCCATGATCTTCTGAATTAGATGTTGGTGATTGCGCTGCTTTGCTCGTTTCCTTTCTGCATCTTGATATGTAACGACGGGTGGCCAGTATAAAGATAAGAATACCTCCACTCGATAATATGATATAAAAGGGAATTGTCGTATGGTATAGTGTGTCACTTATGGCACGTAGTTGTACTGGTGATTGCATGAGAATTTTGTCTTGGATGCTGTGTAATCCTTGGAGATAGATTGAGTTTAGGTGGATGCGGGTAGATGCTGTAGCTTGTTCCGGAGATCTGAAAGGTAGTCCAGTGAGCTTTAGAGGTTGACCTTTTATCTCATTATTGTCGTTGACGATAGTGAACTCGGCAGTTTTAAGAAGACAGCTGGCTGGAATCGTAATGAGATAACTCCCTTGTAGCATGGTGAATTCTTTTCTTCCGCAAGACAATTGTACCTTGGTATAGTGTGGAAAGGACAGGATATAATGCTGGTCATCTAGTTTTTCCATCGCTTCTTTTGACAGAATGATAGTAGTAAGATTGCAGGCTTCTTGTATGACTTGCTTGGTGATCAATTCTTGGATGCAATCGGGTTGTGTTCGGATCTGATAGGTAGTGCGTTCTTCACAGAGATACCAGTGGTTAAACTTCGGACATTCTGTCTCTATGTACGCGAATGATAACTCGTTAGTTGCCATGAAGGGATAGGTTGGGATAAGGGCCTGTGAATTTTTATTTGGGACAATGGATGATTTATATAAATCAAAATTATCTCTAGAAGTTATAGGAAATTTAAAGATGAACACGATTTGTTTCTCCGTGTAATATGAGCCGGGTTTTATTACGTCATAATAGTCTCTGAGTTCTAAATTTAATATTTGATCCGAGCTGTAAATACTTCTAAGCTTACTTAACATGGAACCTAATACATCTATATCTATCATAGAATGATGCGTGCTAGATGCACGAATAAAAGCTAAAGTGTTTTCTATTCTAATTAATTCTAGCATTAAGTCCTCTACATTATCACTAATTATTTCTAACAATTGCGCGAATTTAGCGTATTTAATTAAACTAGTTTGCCTATATGCATCACTATTTAATATAAGTATCAAAGTCTCATTAATTTTTCTTTGATTTTCCGCTATCTCAATAATTGCATTACTATGCTTAGACATCCATTCTTTACTTAAGCTGAGATGTTGATCGAATTCGGATGCAACGCTCAGTTGATTATCCTTAAGGGTTTTAATTGCCTCGTTATATCTTAACGCGTCTGTATAATCTAAGTTACCCGTTATGCTTTTTATAACTGAACCAAGACTATCTATAAGACCTCTTTTAGCTCTATTGGGCTTTAGGGTTCTGAGATGACTTAACACCTTGCCAAGTTTGTTAGACAGATAATCTATTTGGATTTCGTATAGTAAGTAAGTATCGTTAGTCAGTCGGTTTTGGAAAGTCAGTAGTTGATTCTGTAGGGAGTGGATATTATCTTCAATGTCATCGAGTTGTACGTACTGTAAAAATGTATGGTAGTGAGTAGTCAATTTCGTGGGTCCTAGTTTATACGGTAGTAGTCCTGGTCCGTCTGATAGACTTTCAAGTTTTATCTCTGTCGTCTGAGTCCTTTGAAGGAGCATTATTAGCAGTATCCTGCAACAAATTAACTGCTTTAGGAACACGCTTGAGCCGTGATTTTGCTACTGGACCACGTTTTTTAGATGTATATATGTGAATGGGTAAATCGGCTAATACAGTGTCCTGAGTATAACGTGGTGCGGTTTTCTGGCGGGCGGCAGATGGATTTTTAATGAAAACTTGCTGCTGCGGCGCGTATTCTATTTCCGATTCGCGGTTCTTATTCCTACTCTCTATAATGGCTGTGCGATTGGCTAGTGACGTGCTATTAATAATTTCGTACACCTTTTTCATTTGATCTCTATGCGTCTGTACATACTGTTGTAGTAGTTTCTGGGTTATGTCGATGTCAAGACAGTCTCTATGGTCAAAGTGTCCCGTTAATAAGTCAAATGGTCGACACCTAGTAAAACTGTGTATTGAGCTATTGTAGGCTATTATTGCGTAAGGCATGAGATTGATGACCGGTTCGTCCTTATGTTGTAATTTTAAAATTCTAATATGTTCCAAAAGGGTCGAATGGAACCTTTCAATATTACCGTTATCGTTAGGTGAATGGGCTAAAATACGATGGTGATTTATCTTATGGAGTCTAGTAAATTCTAAAAATAATTGGTTAGTGAACTCTGTTCCGTTATCAGTAATTATTGTTAGGGGAACACCGTGATGGGTACAATATTGTAGAAGGGCCTGTAATATACTAATAGCGGTTCCGTCGCGTAAATGGTAAGCTTGTCCGTATTTTGTAAAAACGTCTATAAAAGTTACATATTTTTCACTTTGAACTGTAAAGAGGTCCATGTGAATTATCTCAAAGGGTTTGGTTGCAGGTGGTACTACATTAAATTGAGGTCTTACTGGGTTTCTATCATATTTGGCCTGTCCGCAGATGGTACATTCGTTAATAAATTTTGTGATATGGTCCTTCATTTTTGGCCAATAGTATTTGCGAGATAATGCTAAGTAACACTCGTTAATACCACGGTGGTTGGTTTTACCGTCGTGATAGTGACGAATAATTTCTTGTTGTCTCAAATATTCCTTAACATTCTCTAACTCGAATTTAGTTAGAACAAGGTTAAGTGAAGAGCTTTTAAATTTATCCTGTAAGATTGGTATTACTTTATATAATGCTAAAGGTGGGTTTATTAAGAGAGCTGTTTTGATTTTCGGGTTGACATACTCTTTTACAGCGTTAATGACGTCTTCTTCGAGACTATTTTCCGATAGTTGGATGCTAACACGTGTATGGGTATCGAAGGGTTTAGTCACGATGGTTTTCCGTTTAACGTCGCTAACGACAGTCAAGTGAATTTGTCTATTAAACTTATTGAGTGGTTCGTCAGTTATAGGAATTTCAAGTATAGGGTGTTCGTTACTGGTGTGTACGGTCTCAGTCGAAGAGTTTGCAATACCTTCGCTTGGGTTGCCTATTAACGAGTTTAGTTCGTCAATTTCGTTCATTAACATCATTACGTCTTCATTGTGAATCTCTATACGTGAGAGAGCATCGGCATTGGTGTTAGTTTTGCCTTTCTTATAAATTACTGTAAAGTCATACTCGCTAAGTCTAAGTCGCCATCTTGTGAGACGAGAATTTGGTTCTTTCAAATTCATCATCCACTGCAATGGTTTGTGGTCTGTCAAAATTTTAAATTTACGTCCATACAAATATGGTCTAAAGTATTTCGTAGCCCAGACTATAGCGAGAAGTTCTTTTTCGATTGTACTGTAATTAACTTCGCTTTCGTTTAACGTACGAGAAGCGTAACAGACCGGTTTGTCGGATCCTATTGGACCTTGTGACAGTACGGCACCAATGGCAAAGTTAGAAGCATCTGTCGTTAGGTTAAACTCTTTAGTAAAGTCTGGATATTGCAAGATGGGATCGTTTGTCAAAAGAGACTTACATTTTTCGAAAGCGTTAACGTAATTATTGTCTATTGTTACCTTTTTGCCTTTCTTAAGACACTGAGTTAATGGTTTAGTAATACGGGCGAAATCCGGAATGAACTTTCTGTAATAACCGAGAAGGCCTAAAAATTGTTTAATTTCTTTTGGATTCTTTGGAATAGGGTATTTTTGTACAGCCGAAATTTTATCGGGGTTTGGTTTAATACCGTCCCTGGTGATAATATGACCGAGATAAGCCGTTTCATGTTTGAGAAACTCCGATTTGTCCATTTAAATTTTAAAGTTGGACTCGCGAAGTCTACTAAATACTTTGTCTAGGTTAACCATATGTTCTTGGAGCGAAGTGCTGAACACAATTATGTCATCTAGGTATACAAGGCATATATGGTTTTGTAGCCCCCTTAAGACATTGTCCATAACTCTTTGGAACGTAGATGGACTGTTCTTCAGGCCCATTGGCATGCGAAGAAATTCGAAATGGCCATGCTCTACATTAAAAGCTGTTTTCGCTATGTCCTGAGGGTCCATTTCAACCTGATAAAATCCGCTTGCTAAGTCTAAGGTGGTAAAATATTGGCACTTCCCTAATTTGTCAAGAACATCACTAATGTTCGGGATAGGGTATTTATCGTCAAGTGTCTTTTCGTTTAATTTGCGAAAGTCGACTACAAGACGCCACTTCTGTTTGCCAGAAGCATCTACTTTCTTTGGCACAAACCAGATGGGTGAGCTCCATGCAGATTCGGAAGGTCTTATAATACCCTGATCTAACATTTTGCTTATTTGGTCCTTAACTTCTTGTCTATGTATGAATGGATAACGATAGCTTTTAGTGTGTATTGGTACTTCGTCCGTGGTTCGAATCCGATGTTTTATTCTATTTGTGAAAGTGAGGCTTTCACCTTCTATGTAAAAAACGTCCGAGTAACGAGAGCAAAGTGCTACTAAATTAGCCTTTTCCTCCTCGTTTAGGTGGTCTGTACGTAATCGCGAAACTACTTCTTTTGCGCGTGCTGATAATTGTTCGGTACGCGTGCACTCAATATTAAATAATTCCGCGTGTGCTGGTCGGTCGAGTGAAAATATTATATCGTTTGGCGTTGGGTTCTCTACCTCAATATAACCGCGATTATTGACGACAGTGATAACACATTCGTGAATAATACAATTACATAGAACCTGTTCCGTAATATAGGCTTCGCCATCCTTTGTATCCAATGGAACTCTAATAATTTTCGAAGAGCTGGCAGGTATTATATCTTCGTATAAATTAACATTACGCGAGTTATATAATTTTATGGGATTACATGCTGAATGCGTTATTAATTGTCCTTCCTTTAAATCTATACGGGCCTCCCATTTACTTAATAAGTCCAAACCTATAAGGCCGTCAAAATAGTCATGAAAGCGATATACAAAGAATTTCACTTTATCGGAATCATTAAATTCAGAAAAACAAGGTAACGTTATAGAATAATTATTACGACTTGTCGCGTGTATGTTTGTTACTTCGAACGGGTCAAAATTAAGTGGGAAATCGCTGAAAAATTTTCCTACTGCTTCAGGGCTAATAAAAGACTGATTCGCGCCAGTATCTATTAAAAATTTTAATGGGGGGTTTGCTATCTGTATATATGGTAATTGTCTTTGAGTCTGAAGATTTAATTCTATTTTTGTTTTTTTATAGTCGAATCGTCCTGAAAATCCTGATCGGAGTGCTTAGACTCTACTTGTGATTGATTTTGAGTATAATAATTATTGTCTTGGTTTTCGTCAGTCGAGTCATAATAAGAAAAATCAGAAGCGAAATCCGGGGCATAAGCATTGTTAAAGTCGGTGTAGTATGCGTACTCGTATTCAGGGTTATACTCGTAATATGAATCGCTATACGCAGCGCATTCGTTTGTATTCATTTCGCGGGATTTAAAATAATTTGTTGGTGGCGGATTGCCAAATTTATTCCAGTCATGTCCTGTCAACATTTTTGTGTGTGGTAAAGCCTTGGGAATAAAACGTTGGACTCCACTCATGGGCTGAGGTTGTTGAGGGTTATTTCGGGGTGGTAATCGGAACACGTTACTACGCTGGTTGTAGTTAGGAGGGGGTGCACCGAACATGCGCTGGGTATTAGTTGGCATGCGCTGTTGGTGTGGTACGGGTTGAGGAAATTTGAACGGCTGAGGTGGGGGTCTGTAAGGTCTTTGCCCAACAGGAACTGGCCAATTAGGTACTGGAGTTTGGAAAGGTTGATGTTGAGGAATGGAAGGTGGTGTGGATGGTGGAATGAACTTGGGGGAATGTTGACTTTTTATGGAGTCATTGCGCTGTTGGAGATACATAATGTTTAATTCCTCCTGTACATATTCTAAAGCTCTCTCTATTGTCGATGGTCGCATGCAACGTATACGAGATCCTAAAGGTTCCTTTAAGCCGCGGACATATGCTTGCATTGCGACTTTCCTATAAAGGTCCCGTTTGGCATCGATGGTGGTCGGTATGGTCTCATGTAAAGACACGTAAGTCATTATCGTACTAAACAAAGTTTGGCAATGGTCGTAAAATTCTTGTGGAGTTCTGTTGCCTTGCGAAGCTAAGGAGAGGTCATTATATAAAGCCGTTTCGTCCCGCTGGTCGGAAAAGTTATTTATTAGTGCTGTCCTAATACCTAACCAGTTTTCAGGAATGCCATTAGAGTTTATAGTGCAGGCAGCGGTTCCTGTTATTTTGTTAAGAATACCGTTCAGAAGACATAAATTAGAAAATTCACTATCGGGCGCATTGCTTAGATACTGCGAAGCTAGTCTGTCACATATTTTTATAAATCTAGTTAAAACGTTAGGGTTCCCATCAAACTCCGGGACGAGGCGTAAAGCCTTAAAAATTGTGTCCGGGTCATGGGCCATCTCTGTTAAATAAGTATTATTTAATTCTAATTCTAAATCTAAATCGGTTTGCCTACTATTATCTAATATATGACGGCGAGCCTGTCGAGATTCAGGCTCCCGAGAACGAGTTACTCTAGGATGATAAATCTTGAAGGGAATGATTTAAACTTAGGGATAAGGGAGAGCAACACGAGATCAATTCAAGTGTACTCACGTGGATTTCATCTGGTTTCTCTCGATGAATCGAAGGCTGGATTCTCCTCCTGGTCTGCAGCTGGTCCGTAGATCCGGATACTCTTCGAAGTGACTTGATAGCCGCCGGGGTGCTTCACGGTTATGAAAAGATATTCCCTAACTATCGCAAAACTACCCCTGAGTATCCTACCGACTGCGCCAATTACGTTAGCTGCGGCCGGAGGTTCGAAAAAAAACCAAATTTACTTATAAAATATATTTAAAATAAAAATTACAAATTATGTTACTATAGCTAATTAATCTAACAGAATGAACCTCGTGTAACTGAGTACGTGATATTTTATACATCCGGCACGTGGCTTGAATTGCTGCGCCTGCATTCCTGTCGGTTTACATAGCAACTGTTCTAGGTGCATAGTCAGCGATCGTCATATCATAGGTGTATGTAACTAACCTCTTACCAGCCAGTGAATCCACAAACTAAGCATCCTGTATAAACAAGACCCCTAACGATGGTTTGTATTGCGAGGATGTTTGTAAATGTTAAGCTGTTTTCCATGACGCAATGCTTGCTTAGATCGTTGACAGATCAAGCGGATAGACATATGTAGGGCAACTGTTGTTATTATATTTACCTTGAATGTTACGTAAGACTGTGATAATACAATGTCATAATTTTTACTCTGCATAATAATAAAATGTCATTCTGTTTCAATTTCCCTTTGTCACCTCTCACAACCCTACTAATATTATAAATGTAAATGTTTGTTTAGATGTTTGTATGTTTGTGGCTCAATCACATAAAAACTACTGAACGGATTTTGATGTAAATTGGAAACAATAATTATAGAAGACAAACTAAAATATAACAGCTGCGTGTAAAATTCTTGTGTAGGGAATAAAATTGCTTCACTTGATATTGTAAAAAGAATTTTGGTATAAATGAACAACTCCCAAAACTGCGCCTTAAGCAACGGGCGGACCGGAAGTTATTTACAATTTTTACCATAACCTTAGATAAGGAAATCAGCAGTGAAATGGGCCTATAGTAGGTAGGTTGGAAGTTTTTTTGTCACCTGACTTGTATATAGATGTTACTATTGATCTTTTGAATATATTCGGGAAGGTCCCTGTATTGAAGTTTAGGTTGCACAAATGCGCCACAGGTTCAGCCAAAACATGACAACTGTCCATATTATTAATATAATCCTAGTTTTATTCATCCAATACATTTTCATGCTGAAGTTATTGTAAGAACACACATTCTCGTACACGGAATCTGCATCTAAAATAATTTGCAACCAACAAAATTGTTTGGGATGTGTTTGTTAAGAACTAATAGAATCATTTACCTAGACTCGCTCAACACAACTCCAGAGGAAATGATTCAGCGGAAAGAGGCATTTTTATATACAAAACAAGGGAAAGATGTGTGGGAGGAATGTGTTGCGAGGGATGTATGCGAGGGACGTGTGTGAGGGTTGTGTTGCAAGGTATGTGTGCTAGGGAATGATGCAAAAATTAGTGGACAGTGGCGCCCGCGCTCCGTTTCCACCACACCTCAACCCGCTCTCATTAGAAATGAACCCGCTACACCTCCTCGCACCGCTCAGTAGCCTATCACATCTCTGGTAGACACGCTCACACCATTCCACAGCTTCGCTACGCATACTCACACTGCCCAGCTCGCACATCTCTGGTGGAAACGCAGCCTTAAACTGTTTTCAGTTTCGTTGGCCTCACCGCTTTCATTATTAAAATGTTTTTGTATGATCCGAAGGGATTACAAAAATAATTGGGACAAAAGGGATGCGAAACGTTAACTCTAACTCCATTATTTCATTATAGTGCTTGTTTATCTCACCTAAAACAAATTAACTTCTTTTTTATATAGAAGTAAGAGTCATAAGCATTCACACGGCCCACGTCAGTAAAGCCTAGTTAACTGGATGTTGTGGTCCATAGAAATCTACATCGTTTTTATAGAATAAGGGTGAAAAATGAGCACACAGTCCACACAGACTACATCTATCTTCGGTTAAGAATCAAAATACAAATATGTTGTCAATAGAGAATAAATATAAATGTCTATGGGCTACTATATCCAATTACCATCAGTTTTAATGTTGCTTGTTTATTACCTTTATCAAAAAAAAATAACTCATAGTAGTCACTTCATAAAGTATATTG